TTTCGAGAAGAGTTTGCTTTCTTTACAAAGGTACAAAGTTGATGAAATTGGAAAGTTGATTAGAAAACTACAAACACGAAATTTGGGTCAGAATTTTGAAAATGTTTAAAAAAGAAACATTTTCTGAAAGTATAAATACGTCTAAGTTGTTTTGTTACCCCTAAAACGTTTACGTTGATGCATTTTATAATATTTATTTATATATGCATATATAGTCTATTCACAAAAACAAGTAAATACGTTTAAAAATCGCATTAAAATATACCATTTATCATGGTCATAATATTCTATATCTTATAATAACTGGATAAATAAATAATAACAAATTTTGTGCAATATATTTGCAACATGATATCCTATTAAATTTCTTAACATTTTTTGGAAAATTTAAAATCAATGTTTGTGCAACTCATTTATTATGTGCAAAAACTATTACTTTTAATTGAAATCGCCTATCTAAAGAAACTTGCTATATTAAATTAATTAAAATGAATTATCACAAAGGATAAAAGGTTATAATTTATAACCATATCTCAGCCAACATGAAAACATTCTTATATTATTGGTCTTGTTATTCATCCAAGCTTCAAAATACGCCTATATTTATAAATTTAACACTTAATATTATATTTATATTATAGTCCATGATTAAGGCTATATACTAAAAACTATACATACAATTCACAATATCTTTTATATTACATATTTGTGATAGGTTTGATAATATATTAACTATACAATGAATACGAGTTTTATTAGTAAATTCAAATGTTATTCAATAATTTTACATTTAAATCTCGAGAACAAATAATATTTATTGTTATGGAAATGAATAAATAATCGGATGAAAATAGAATACAAATTGCTATTTATAGCTTATAAAGTTCTGATATCAAAAAAAACGGTGATAAAATTTGTTAAAGATCAAACTTTTAAAGATTCAATATGCTTGAATAAATCTGAAGTATTTTTCCTTGAGAATTTCATGCAACGATTTACAAAAACAATCTATTTGTATTTGATTGACCCTGCTCATAGCATAGTTAAATACTAAAACATAGCTATTATTTAAAAACTAAGCTCTAACCTCTCTCGTATTTATTCTTGACCAAAGCCTTCTGTTTCTTCAATAGCATAATTTAGTTTTTCGACCATCTGGTCATAACTTTTGTAGGGGGGTAGATCTAATCTATTGAAACAGGTGTGAGACCTCGGTAACCAGGTGTCTTTGCCCACTTTTTCTATACAAAATCGTTGCGGTCCGTTGGAACCCATTAATTCGGCAAAACCTCCTACTGGAACACGACAGGTTCCAGTAACAAATTGGAGCAAACGTGCCCGTTTTTCGTTATCTGTTTGACGTACGAACTAAAAACAAACAATAAGCTATTAATATTATTACATTCTAATTCAGTGTGTTTCAGTTTTATCATCAACAATAAGCTATATTAAATAATAAATCTATTTAGTCTTTATAATACACCTACCTGCCAAAACCATACAATTTGTTTACTGTTTCTTGTATAATGACGGTAAATAGTATTTCTTTGCCAATCGTCAACATCTATTTCCTGCATTCCACAGAGCATCAGTTCAAGTTCACGCTCATCAAAGTATTTGAGCCATTCTAATGGTACCACTTCACTAAATCCATCCAGGAAAGCCTTGGTTTGATCTTCTATACCTAGAAAATAGAGAATAAAAAACATAAGATATACTGAAAATTCTTTCACTTAAATCAATAAAAATAAGTATAACTTACTTTACAATTTAATATGTATAATGCAATTAATTATTTAATGTGTAATTACCTCTGGTCATTCTCCATTCAGTCATAAGCCTTATATATTCTTCTTTATTTTCTTCAGTAACTCTAATTTTATCACCACTATCTTTCAGTTCATGATGTATAACTTGTCCCAAGACTTCAAAATCTACCCCGAAGAATAACTCTAATGCGCATTCGTCAATATTATTATCTTTTATCCAGATGAGAGAATTGTAAAATTCTGGATCAATAGATTCTATATCTTTCATGGTCAATTTTTTATTAAGCATTCGTTTATAAAAAGGCATTGTGAATCCCGAATAGATAAATCTTCCATGATATAGGGCCATCGCGATAAATCGACCGATAAATTTGAAATATAATAAATGGTCCGGGTTTACGTAACTTGCCGGGTTGATTTGTAAACTATAATTATTTTTATTCGCATATTCGAACAAACAGTACATAGGATTCAGTACTTCATGGGAAAGTAAGAAAAACCATTCTCTAGATACGCCACCATAGTCTAAACCTTCTTCACCGCGGAATATTATATACAATCGCCGACGAAGTTCATATGCAGGCAGCCGCATTATTTGGTGATAAGAATCTTCGAAAAGAGTTTGTCGAGTTAAAGTTATTTTTATATGAGATGGCAAAGCATTACTTTGACATAAAAATCGAAACTGGGATAATTTCCAGCGGAATGAACGCTCATACGCCCGTGGAACACCGTAAACACCTTTCGGTCCTTTTGGAGCACCTGAAATAAAACGAAAAGTTTGACTAATTAAAGCTTCAACAAATTATATCTTATACTATTATATATAAAACTTTTCTTTCGGAAAGTTAAAAATTGAATTATAAATTTGTAAATCTATAGCAAAATCCTACATAGCTTTAATTAAAACTGTTGTCAAACATATTTTCACAAACTGAAAACATTAACAACAAAAAAAAAACAGATTGCAAAATCATATAAGAAAATTAAAAAAAATAGTAATACAGCAATTGATAGAAAACTTTATATGCAAACCGATATAATTAAAAAAAAGTGAACAGCGAATTTCAATTATAAAATAGTTTCCTCAAAAATATATAGTTTTAACTACCTGGCCTTGGATCCTGGAATGTAGTAGTCCTAGTGTTGTGATCAACAAAGTATTGAACGCCATCTTCTGTATGTCTAATCTCCCATCCAGGAGGCAATGGAGGGTCATCTGGAGCACTCGATTCTTGACCTATTCACAATGAATATCATTTAATTAAAATTTATGATAATTATAAAAGAACCATATTCACATAATTATCTTCATTCTTTAATTGAATTTTAGATTGAAGTTTTTGTCAATTCACTATTTTATTCAGAAAAATGCAGTTTATATCGGATGTGTATACATTGGAAGAAGTTTTCAAGCTATTAATTATAATACTCAAAAAAATAAATACTAGCCTTGTGTTCTAGGATCTTCCCATTGCGTAGTTCTGTTTTTATGATTAACAAAATATACACGTCCTTCTGGCTGGACACGTTTCTCCCATCCTGCAGGCAGAGGCCCTAGAGTATCAGAATCGTCTGGCACAGTTCCAGCCATTGCCATTGCTGCTGTGGTAGGCATTGAAACAGAAGGCGCGGTTATTAAGGGAGGTGAGCCAGATGATCCAGCAGCAGCGCCAGATACACCGGGAGCGCCGGATGCCTATAATAAAAATATACTTTTAAAATAGAGAAACTAACTACATTGTAAATATAGACCAAACAAATTCACACAAGCCTATCACTTGGTACATAAATATTTTTTCTTTTTTAAGTAGCATCACTTTTCTATAGATCTTCATCTTTTATGAACAAGATTGTGTTCTTACCTGCGCTTGTGCAGGATAGAGAAACCTTTGATTCGCCTGTTGTGCCACATGTGCGCGTTCTCCTTGCCATTGTTGATAATGTTGTAATCGTTCCGGACTAGGCCTTTGCCATGTGGTGGATCGTGTATTGTGATCAACATAGTATACTCTCCCTCGGGGGTCTCGGCGGATCTCCCATCCAGCAGGAAGAGGCTGAGGGCGCTCCCAACTCGTTGAACGAGTGTTGTGATCAACATAATATCTAGAAATTATTTTTGTTTGAAGTAAAATATCATTTTTAGAGGCAACACCAAATTTCCAAAATGGCATAATTTAAAACTATATGCAAACAAAATTTTTACAAACCTTCTTCCATAAACATCATATCTCATTTCCCATCCTGAAGGCATTGTTTCTTCAACACCATTGCTAGCTGAAGTAGGATTCACACCTGGGGTTCCATTGGCGGTTCCTGCAGCAGTGCTGGTACTGACGGCATTTAATGCTCCATTTCCATTTGTCACAGGCGGCTCTGAGGCTCCATTTGTTAAGGGTGTTACATTAGGACCAACAAGTGGAGGATGACCCAAAGGAGGACCTGGAACTTGCTGCAAATGCACGGAAGAACGAGAAGATGTTGTCGGCATGGGCATAGGCATAGGCATCGCAACCGGCTGTAACAAAAATTATATTATATTTTGCCTCACAATGTTCACACACTTAATTTATACTTTTAGATCCAAAAATAATGGCTAATGATCATATGTCTGTTTTTTATTTGATTTATGAAATCAAAATTTCAAACAATAAGATTTTATACATATGTTTTAACATCAAAATTAGCTATTTTAGACATTAAACTAAATAAATACCTGTGCTTGAAGCATGCCCGAAATGCTACCTCTATGAGATAAAGCTTGAGACAATTGGTTATGCGAAGGAACTGCAATTGGATTCTCTGAACCTCTTAATCGCATTCTTGCATGGACGCCTTCATTCAAAACACTCCTATTTGATGTTGAATCTCTGTACAAGAGTATATTAAAAAAAATCATTAAAAAAAGCTAAATAAAATATCAATTATTAGTTCATGCCAGCATATCTGTTTTAATTTGGAGCATACTGTGAATAAAAAAATCAAAATCAAAATCAAATGTTATGGAACTCTAGTTTTTATAAATAATTTTACCTGTTTGAATTTGTGACTGTAGCATTACGTATAGATTCAGGTACCACTATTGTGCTCAAGTCAACTCTTAGTCCATCAAATAATGTAACCAACTCTCCAACTTTGTTATGAGGGCTTATACTTTTAGAATCGGATAATAAATCTGTAAAAATAAATATTTTTTTATAATGAAAGAATAAAAATTTATGTTTAACAAACTTATATGTAATAAAAACATTAAAATAAATTGCACACTACATGATGTACCTTAAAATCGCATAGTACACTTTATTATACATTGTGAAATAGCGAGGTCAAGAATTTGAGTTAAATATGTACTATATATAAAAATGTAGTCTAAAAAAATATTTCGTTTAATCTCATTGATGGAAATTAATGTAGAAAAAGGAAGGCTGCTTTAAAACTCGAAAAATAGTAATTAAGATTCAATTTTACTCAAAATTTCACATTAGCTGGTAATGGTATTTCATGAGGAAAATTAAACCATATCAGGGTTAGAAAACAAAACTAAATGAGTTTTGTAGACTTCATCAAAATTCATAATTTGTTATAGTGAAATTATTTAAATGTAATCATATCATATAAATGTTAATGTGTAATGCACTGTGTTATCTCTCTTATCAATGGTGTGAGCATTTAAAAATCGATGTACTTGAGTTCGAAAAAGTCGCTATCTTTCGAAAACAATAAATCTATCTGGCTCATAATGGTGTTAATAATTCATTCATGAATCTGTTTGCTTTTATTTTATTGAATCGAATTCAGAATTTGCGCCAAACATCGCACACTGTTTGAAAGTTCAGTTTCATAGATTAGAAAATGCGATTTATTTGGTAAAACACCAACCTATAATTTAGAGATTACAAAATTGTAATCAATTAAAATTATGATACTGGATTGGATAATTTTTGAAGTGTCTACAATAGCAGTTACTAATTATTTCTTCCAAATATCTTTCCTAGGTCGTTCCTAAGAAAAAATCATGTTAATTTACTATTCCTTACCCAAAGTAACTTCCAAATTGTCACATCTTCCATGATAATGGGTCAAAATCTGATACAAGTTGAGCCGTTTTTCTCCGATGACCGCGTCTTTCCGGAAGCTGTTGTGATCCAGTAGACGGAAGTGCAGATAAGAAGTGGGCGTGACCAAAACAGTGAATTCTTCGTTCCATTTCGGCTGATAAGTGTTCTTAACAACTTCTGTTTTGCGGGAATGCTTGTGATCGTCAACTGTAACCTCCACGTACGGGTTTGGTTTTAAAAAACTACCCGTACGGATATGAGCACATTCGACTGGAATAATAAAATTCGGAAAAATTATAATAATTTGAAGTAAATTTTATTTTAACAGTGTTTCAAAAATATTATGAAATATTTCATGGAGTACACGATCTAATGTTTTCCTAAGAAGCATCGCAATGTAAATAATTTTTTAAAGAACCTCGTATAAAAGCCAAAAGATGTACAATGGTATTAATAGCATTAAAGCTATTTCTGTTATCTTAGAATATAATTGTATATGTTAGTCGTCAAATCTATTCTATTATTTTATTATTGCTAATCAAATGCATAGAAAAAATTTGAATTATTTTAGCATGTTATTATATTATCTATCATTTATCAATTCAATAACTGAACAAACAAACAAGATCTTGTTTATAAATGTATCTACAATATTTAAAAATTGACAATTTTCGAATGCAAAAATCTTTGTCTTAATAAAAGCATAGAAGAAATATAGGATTTTGTTATTGTTATATAGAGAACTAGCAAACCGGGCGAACTCCGTTTCACCACCAGATGGATTCATTTTTATGTAACATTTCGTTTGGTGATTAAAAGATGAAAAAAAAATGCCTGCTGTTGAAATTGAATAAAAATTTGCACAATACACGTGATTTGATTGATGGTTTCCAATTGAAATGTTAGGAAACGAATAACTTATTTTTTTGCACAATTTCACAGTGAACACAATGCCGGTTTGAAAACAATGGGTAGCAGTCAAACAAAAAATATTTTGTAGTACATGCTAAGTATCAGAGATGACGCTGTATGTGAAAAAAGAAAAGGTGTTTTCCGCTTTTCTGTTGAAATCTTTCTTCAACTTTCTTTGCTATAAACCTCACGGAGTCCGAGACCTTTCCAACGAATGCAAAATCGTCGAAATCGGTTCGTGCGTTCTGGAGTTATTTCGTCAGGAAGGAAAACCCGACTTATTTTTATATAATAGATATCCAAAATATGCTGTTGAAATAGCCGGGGATTGGGACCAGTTTTTCAATAATTCAATTCGTTTTAATGTGTGAAATGAACGTCGAGTGTAACGGTTTTGCTCGAGGATTAATAATAAAGGCAACAAATATATTTTTCAAAAAAAAAATTATAGTTTAACAAGCTAAACAAAGTATAAAATATTTTGTCAATCAATGTTTAAGTTAACAATCCTGTATGAAATTCGTAACAAATGTAATCTTTTTTGTTAAATTATTAACAGCAATCAAAACTTAAAGAGCCCTATAAGCTAATGTGACGACTTATTATTATATATGACAACCCATTTTAAAAAGACAATAGGGTTGTCCTATCTCTTATTAATGGCATTAAATCTATTTCTGTTATTTTAGAATATAATCGTGAATGATAGTCGTCACATCTATTCTATTATTTTATTATTGCTAATAAAAATCGTATGTATGGCATGCAATGCATAGAAAAACATATTTAAATTATTTTAGCTTGTTATTATATTATCTATCATTAATCAATCCAATAACAAACAAACAAGATATTGTTTATAAATCTATCAACAATATTGCAAAATAACAAACATATTTATGAATTGACGCAGAATCTCACGTGAGTCACATTTTTATGAGTCAATAATATTTTCTATTATTTACCAAATGGTTAATATGTATAATCTGATGAAATAACGTAGTATAAGGTCTTATATACCATGCTTGTTATCTTGGGCATCTATAACACTATAAGTGCTATACATTAATAATAGAGTACCCAAGCCCAAAGGGCTTTGAGTTATGTCTGATTGGAAATCATTGGTACCAGAAGTTTGATGTGATGGACATCTGATTATAGAGATCAAATCGTTTCGATAAATTAGTTTTATTAATAACATAAGATTTTGTTTAACTATTTATTAATGCTCTATGTCCCATTGCCCTTATTGTATTAATTAGACAAAGAAGAATTATACTTACTGGTAATGCATAGTTGATGAAATCCAGTCGTGATGGTAACAACGTTATTATCAGACATTATATCAGTACTGGCCAGGTCTCAATATGCAGGGTCATAGTTCATGGTGGCGGACGTCGAGGGGCTGAAGATGATATATCGTTGAAAATGAATTGTTGTTTTGAGTGCCTATTTAGAATAGAGATATATATTTATTTTAATATTGAATAAATATATAAGTACAAAATTAAATTAATATGCAAAAAATTTAATTTGGATTTTGTTAATGAAATGATTATTAAAATTAGATTGATTATTTAAATTAGAGAATTGGATTGATCACTGAACAAACCTCAAAAACGAAATGCAAGTTAGATCAACAATTACAAATCGTTTTCCTAGTAATTGTGATTCACATTCAATATGTTTGAATATTGCGTTTATTATTGTTTCCATTCAACAACTCATTGTTATCTGCATTATAATATTTGCATTCGTAATTATTGAAATTTGTATGGCATTGTGCCTTCTTAAGACAAATTGCTATAACTTTCCGTTTTAAAAACAAGTATTAGAAGAACAAATAAATTAAAATTTAGATAAAAATAGCACAAAACTTTAAAACGACAACAATAGTGATTATAAAGAAAACTTTTGAAAATAGAAAATGTTTGAAAGCAAAATAATAATAACAGATAAATAATTGCGGATTTTGTGATAAAAAATTAGGTAAGAATAATATAACTATTTGAATGGCTTCAACGACTTATCGCAACAATTATGAAACTAACTTGTTCTGAATAAGGAATTATAAAAAAAAATATTTTTTTAAACGGTATATTTGAAAAATATGTGTATAATTATAAAAATTTATATAATAAAATTGTGATAGAACTTTTTTTAAATATCAATATATTAATTGAAGCAAATATTAATAGTCCAGTCATTTAAGCTTAAATTAGGTAAGAATCTCGGAATTCGAGATACCCAGCTGTAAGCCTGTAAATACTTGTATATTGGACACCCTACCATATGTAGGTTTTGAGACAACTTTAGGGTGTCAATATATTTACAAGTATTTACAGACTTACAGCTGGGTATCTCAAATTCCGAGGTGAACTTATACTATAATGACTGGACTATAAGAGCAAAATTTAGCAATTAAATGAATAATTGTTAATTAAATTAAGTGTTAATGTAACTACAAAATGCATGCGCGATAATATAAATTAAATCAACTACAAGTATTGTATATATATATATATATATATATATATATATATATATTATGAAAATAAGTATAAATTTCTAATAAAAGTATGTCATGGCTTTGACTGCTTCATTAGCCATTGTGTTAAATGCTATGAAAATTACTGAGGTATAGATTGTGCATGATGGTGTAAAACTAAAATTTCCTAATTTATTAAAAGTAGTAATAGCTTATTTGGAAAAGAATTATGTGCCTTTTCCACATGAGATTTTCATTTGTTCACCCAACCTCGAATCTTGTATATGTATAATAATTACATGCTTTGATAAAGTCTAATTATGCAACAGTAACAGTTTTTAGTTGATGATTTTTTTTATTATTATTTGAACAGCAATCAGAACCTAATAGTTCTATAAGCTGTTGTGCTGATTTTGACTTAATACTAGTCTGTTTGACAGATAGCAACCAAATCAGTTATCACATCTCTATATGATATATTATTATTACAATTTCTGTAATAGGGCGAGTATTTTTAATGATGCAGCAATGCCGGGTGAGGGCTATTTTCATTTGGAAACATATTGCTATCTATATTTCCAAGTGAAAATCGTTGTCACTGCTCGAAGGCTGCTCGAAGAGGGTATCGAACCCGGGACCTCTGAAACAAGTCCCGTCGCTCTCAACCGTTACTTACGGGCGAGCCCTGGTGAGCTTTTAAATGCGAAATGTAAAAATGGTACAAAAACCAAAAACCAGAAGAAAAAATTATTAACCGGCATAAGAGAAAGGTCAGGTCCAATGAGACCAGTTTTTCAAAGTCATGTCAATTTCATTGTGGAAGATGTACCATCGAGTTTTTAAGCCATCGGTTTTGCTTATCATAGGATTTGCGGATCGGGAGAGTAAAATTATATTCTAAGACTTTAGAAGCAAATAAAAAAAGACAATAAAATAGAAAGCTTGAAATAACAACTTCTGTGCTTTTATTACTATAAAACAATCCTGCTATCACAAGTACGACTCTCAAACTGCATCATAAAGAAAACTACTTTCTAAAATGAACCGATACACAAGCCAGATATATTTTAATAATTCATACTGTATGAACAAATAACATCAAAACCCATCAGTAATTTTAAATTTTTAAACATACCAAATTCATGAGATACAGATAACATTATAATATTTCTGCAAGATTAAGAAACTGAGATCAGCCGAGCAGAGAAAGTGGTACAGTTTTGAAGTTTCTGAAAAATCATGAGTGCGTGTACTTCGTGTGTTATTGTATAGAATATAATTCTTCAAGCATAAAATAACAAACAATTTATGTCACTTTCCACACTTATATTGTTTAATTGCATAGTTGTTGCAATAAGAGATATTTAAAATACATATAATGTATCTTATACTACGATTGCTAGCAATATTACTCGAAGTGAGAAATCATCTACAGAATAGCGTTCTAAACTTCGTATCTAGAACAGTTGATAGATATTTTCGAATGCGAAAATCTTTGTCTTAATAAAAGCTTAGAAAAAATATAGGATTTTGTTATTGTTATTTAGATATAGTATAGGACCAGTTTTTCATTATATCAATTCGGAAATTTTATTGTGGAAAATGTACGTACGACTAGTTTTAAACGGTTTAGCTCGAGGATTAATAGTAAAGTCAACAAATATGATTTTCAAAAAAACTATAGTTTGACTAAATAAAGTATAAAATATTTTTCAATCATATTAAGTTAACAATTCTGTATGAAATTCGTAATAAATGTAATTTTTTTGTTAATTGTTAACAGCAATCAAAACTTAAAAAGCCCTATTAGCTAATATGACGACTTCTTGATAACGTGGCTTTATATATGATAACAACAAGACAACAAGGTTGTCCTATCTCTATTTCATATATTTATTATTTTGTTAAATTCTAATGCATATGACTTTTTATTAATGCTGCAATGTGGGTTATTTTAATTGCAAAACATATTTTCATCTATATTTTCAAGCAAAAACGTTGTTAGATCAAGGTGTTCAATATGGGAATCTAATTAAAACTTTCTGAATTTACAGAATTAATCGCAAAAATAGACGTGAATATAAAATGTGAATTATATAAAATTCAATCGATAATATAGATCATGATTCTTATATCTTCAATCATAATTACATATTAATCATAATCTTGTCTCTCATATATTTGTCTCTACTCATAACACAATTGAAAATCAATTTGAAAGTTATATAATATCAACAGTAGAGCAAACCACAGCACATTGTGACCATCAGTTCTCTTGTTCTTAGAATTTTGCAATCAGAAAAATTAAATATATATAACATATATTAGGTTCAAATATCTCCCTTCCGCCTTTTTGTATTATATTGTATATAAACCAATAGCAAAAGGCGGAAGAGAGATATTTGACAACCTAATATTAACTGCATATATTATATATTGTTCATAAATATAATATCAATATAAAGTACAATTAATAAAATTTAAAATGAGTTCGAAATTATTACTCAATTTGCAATAGATCTAATAAATACATCAACGGCAAGGATTGAACAAACATTTTTTTTAGATTTACACCCGAACATGATAGCATTCTTTTACATATTCCCTAAGCAACGTTTATTAAATATTCAACGATCGGATACTATTTATTTTACATGTATTGATCATATAATGATATCCAATGGCTCATTGAACGAAAGCGTTTGTCAACTTGAAAACGAAATATCAATTTTAGTAAGAAGGTCAATGATGCATAATATCTAACTTTATATTATCACAAGTTGAGATTATAACGTATAATTCAAAATTATAATTAAAAAATTCAAACAAATTCAAAATTCTATTCCGTTCAAATTAAAATTTTTCGTAAAGCATTTTTTGCCTTTGCTAGTGCACCTAGTCACATATATTATTTTCATTTTATATCCCACTCCAATCAACGTTTCGCATGGATAATTTATCATATTTATATCAAACAGATGATATTTTACATACATAAAACTTCCATTTAATAAATATTTTGACTTTATTTTTTCACAGTAAATTACCAAAATAAAATGTTGCAATTGTAAACAGATCTGTAATTTCAAGTGAAAATGATGGATATCCCTATTGCATGATATCAAAAGCAGAACGCTGGTATTGTGCCCTATATATCTCAAAAGGGATTCCTTCATATCTCAAATGAAGCTGTTTAAAATACCTTTATGCAAAATAACTAATTTTTTAACTTCCCGTAGGGTAAGGTATAGTAATAGCTTAATATATCTTTACGTTTCAAAGGTTCCTAAATATTTCGGCATACCTTAGAATAAAATGATGTGTGTGTATGTACGGATATGAATTTTCTTCGGCGATTTCGGGAACACCGATCAACCGACTTGAATAATTCAAAAAACATTCAATTCGTATTGATAAGGAGACGTGCTGATTAGTTTTTGGCGCAGGCAGGCCTAACCGTTCGGAAGATACGGGACAAGAAGTGCCAAAAACGGTAACTCAGTTTTTAAGAGAATAGAGCGTCCGATTTTAATAATTCAAAAAAACATTTTACTTGTATTGACAAGATGAAGAACTGATTAAATTTTTGGGAAGGCAGGTCCAGCGGGTATGGACTCTCAAAAAAGAAAATAAGTTAAAAAATGTAATTTGGCGGTCAAAAATGTTTATTGGATATATGTACATCAAATTATCAGGTATTTTATAGAGATTTTAATAATGTGTACACATTTTGTGTAATTTTTTTTGGATTCCGTACCAAGATTTTTAATTACGGTACGGGAAGTTCCAGCAATTTGCCTCAAGACACGATGCCATGCACCCCACTAGTATTTTGAACAGCGATCAGATCTCAAGAGTTCTAAAAGCCGTTGTGTTGATTTGACTTAATATTAGTCGACTCTACAGATTGCAACCCAAACAGTTGTCCCATATCTGTGTGGAATTATTATTACAATATCTGTAATAGGACGATTATTGGTTAATGCAGGCAAGGGCTATTTTCACCAGGAAATATTTATACCTATATTTCCAAGTAAAAACCGTTGTCACTACTACTTGAGAACAAACCCAGAACAGTTTCAATTTTGGGGAAATCAGAAGTTAACAGATAAGTAATGAAAAATATTATTCTAACAATCTCAAACAAATAGATCAAAAGGCAGTATTCAAAGCTGTATACGAAAAGTTCAGGAAAAAGAGCACAGGTGGATCCTGAATAACTAGTATCTAGTTACTACTAGATGGAAAAAAAGGTAAAGGTTCGATTGATCCAATATCGACAACATAAAATTCAGGTGAGGTGATCAGCAAGGCTAATGCAGTCACCGATATGGAGGCTGACTAGCTAACGAAGCAATGGAAAACACTTGAAATTTTTCATTGGGAGAAAGATGAATGTTTGGATTATTATGGAAAACTAAAGTTCAACAACACGATCCTTGATTGAGAAAGCTAAGACCATGTCTTGACAAAGAAAAATGAAAATGCTCCACGTAATTAATTTATAACAAATAATTGTGGCAAGTTTCTAAAAACTATACAAAAATGCAGTAAAATGGTTAAATTTATTTATATTAGTGCAATATATTAGTACATTACACCAGATTGAGCTGGTTGTTTTGATTATTTTACTGGAGTATAATGTGATAAATAATCAAATTACAAAATGCGGTTGTGTAACTGCCAAGATATTTGGGGAGGCATGATACATCAACAATTCTAAGAATTTAAGAAGTATTTATTTCGAAAGTATTTTCTGCTGAAGTATATTATATTCCGAATGAAAAATAAACAAATAAATAACAAGAGTACATTTAAATAACTTTTAATAAATTATTATTGGCTTTAATAATATTGATAGTTTTTAAACGGTATATCAAAGTGTATTACAGAAAAGGAAATAATTTGATAATTTGATAATAAAATACTAGTAATTTACTTTTAGTATGAGAAATTACTTCAAAAAAGATAATAATGTGAATAGTGTTTTAAGATAAAACTGTCACTATCAAATGCGACAAATTGTATTAAAAAACAATTCAAATTTAGAATATATTAAGATATCTCGCATTTATACGAAAACACTGATAATCTATAACTTTGCGATTATAAATAATTATGAATCAATAATTGCCAAATAATGTACCTAAAAGCAATCATATACAAGTAATCACTATAACGTCAAATAATTAAAAAAAAATTATATTGATATTCATATGGAAGACAAAATAAATTTGCTTTACAGAATAATGATATCATATAAAAAAATTTAAATTTTGTTTCTTGCATAGAATATATTTTATTAATTATCATACTCTATCGATAAAATTAATATTTTTATCAAACCAAAAATATGTGAATTAGAATAAGAAAGCATTTGTAGAAAATTGTTGTAAATTAAATTTCATTATTCGTTTTAATTAACATTTTGGCTATCATTGTGAGAATAGATTATACTCATACAGCAGGACAAATGTGTTATTATAATTTACAATGAAAGCAGAAAAATGAAAGAAATATTAATTTTAATAAAATTGCAATTGTAAAACACTTACGTCAAAAATGTAACACACATATTTATCGAATGTCAATCATTTTGAGCTGCATGAAGTTTAATACACAATAACACATTATTCTATAGGCTTACATTATTAAAGAAGTTACGATTTTTTTTCACTTTTATTTTTATAGGGAAAAACTCAACAAAAAACAATAAATTTAATCTTTCTGACTTATAATTCACTATTATCACGAAGACGTCATGGCCACTGCCATGAAGTTGCATGAATTTTGCAAGGGCACATGATTAAATAAGAAGAGCCAACATTGAAGTATGCCTGGAATAATTTAAATATAAGACATTTGAAACTTTTGTGAAAACGTTTATAAATAAATAAGTTCTCTTAAAATCAAAGAACATTAGGAAATAGTCACATTAGTGCTAAATATATCATGTTCGTATTTGTTCAATTTCAACTGAGGTTTTTGAAATACTCGTGCACTCTAATGAATTCGTGTTTTGATTAAATTTCTAATTGGGTTTGATTAATTTATGCACCATATTGTGGAATTTGGTGTTAAGAATACATAATTAGTTATTAATTTTGTTAGTTAGCCTGAATTTAATTTGAATTTCGCGCTTTCGACGTCAGGTCACTTTGCTCATGGTGACAGCACTGACATTTGTCAGTGACAGACAGTTGAAGTGTAATGGAGGTTTTTGTAAAATAGGCGTGCACGCTAATTAATTCGTGTTTTTGATTAAATTCCCAAATAGATTTAATTAATTTATGCATCACATTGTTCTAATAGTTATGCTCATCAATTGGATATGTTTTTAGAACAGATATGTGCGGAAGTCCTATGATAATTCTCTCTTTAATTCTAATCAATTTTATAATTAAATGCTTTATTCACAGATTCCAATGTATCCTTTATATATAATCATATATGCAATTGTCAAATATATATATATATATATATATATATATATATATATATATATATATATATATGGAAAAATATGAACAAACAACACTCTCTTTTGCACTAATTTATTAAATAATTTTACAAACGTTTCGAGATTAGGTTTGTCTCATTATCAGTGTGTTAATTTAAAATCTAAAATATGGAAACCTAAATTAGCATTATGTGTTATCTGTTACAAGTTGTTCAATATACATATTATGAAATGACAATGTATGTATATGACAATAGTATATTGAACGACTTGTAACAATTTTATAGTTAAACAATTTATTTACAGCGTCAATGTATCCTTTATTTATATATATGCCATTATAAAATGTACCATTTATATATGTGCTTTTGTAGGTTATACTTTATCACTTCCAACTCATATCTGTTATTATCGATTTCTAAATTCACAAAAGTCTCTAACATAAGTCGTGTGTTGTGTATTGTGTAAAGACTTTACTTGGACAATTGCAATATGTCATGTAAAAGACAAAGTTATGTAGTGGTTTTAAAGTAGTGAGTTTGTATCGAGTACTTGAGATTTCTGGCAGTTGCTCCAGAGGTCGTTCGAGTAATGACTATGTGCCCTGGGAGCTGCTGTAGAGGATATCTAACGATGTAAGTGCAAAGCATGTTTTATACAAAGCGAGTCAAAGAATATATTTCTGATATATACAGGCATTTATCGTATTACATCTTATGCACTTATAGTATTTTAAATATTCAATATTATATATATATTAATATATATATATATATATATAAATAAATATAAATATATATAAATATATATATATATATATATATATGTATTAGTTGTTGATTTTGATTCTTTGGGGCGATACATCAAAGAATAAAAGCAAAGATTTATAAATTAATCTTTAATTCCAAAGGTTTCAACATTCAATTTAATGTCACATAAGCCTCGGAACTTGCAAAGTACAGAAGTCGTGGCAGAAATTACCTAACGTTACTCACATTTTTGTTCAAATAAAATTATCATTTGTCTTTTTACATCATACAAAAAATGGTAAATGTTAGTGCTAATTTCTAGTGTTGTGTACACTCTCTAGATGTAACCTACCAACGTTAATATCCACTGATGATGATATTAAATTGAATGTCGAAACGTTTGGAATTAAAGATTAATTTATAAATCTTTGCTTTTTATTCTTTGATGTATCGCCCCACAAGAACTTACTCATATATATATATATATATATATATATATATATATAAATATATATATATATATATATCCATTAAGTTTTTCTTAATTTTGAATTTGAAGCAGTCAAATAATTTTGAAAATCAAAACACAATATTGTTTATCATCTTAAGTGAACTAACGACGAAATAAATAAATAGATACTACTTAAAACTTATTTTCTTAATGACGTTTACAATTACTGACTACATGTATTACATGCTACTTTTTATGCTTGTAATAATAATTTTTCTCAATAATAATATATTTTATGCTCGTTTTTCATATTGAATGAAATTAATTGAAAGGTGCATTGAGAACTTGTCCCTTTGTTATCCGATATCATTTATAAAGCGGTCTGTATATACTTTACTGGAATATTTTATGGCTCGTGCATTATTATTGTAGTTATATACATATATCTGCTGAAAATATTGTTTATATTATAATATTTGAGTCATCATAGTTTTTTTAAACATGTATACTTTATTAATCTTTAATACATAAATACATTTTTTTTTTGTTTATTCAACTACAACTATTATGCCAATAAAAGATTTTAAATTAATATGGCAGACATATGTGTAAAAAACTATGTTTTTATTTAATTTATTGTGGGGAAAACATTTTGATTCAGTTTTTTTTCATTTGTTTATATGTGCCTTTTATACATGTTCTAAATCAATAAAATTGTACATCTCATATGTATCAAAGACATTGAAAGTATTTATATTATTACAATTCCATGAATAGTCAATCTGAAATTCTTTTGTTCTATAATAAAATAATTAAATATTTGTTACCAAATTATTAGTTAACCAATACAGCTTTTTGTATGCATACTACTTTTTTGTTGATGGGGCCCTAGCACCCCTCCTTAGGTAACTCCTAAATTGATGGTATTTTGTTACAAATTACAAATTTACTTTGTTACAAAAATCTCTTTCTTATAACACTTTTTTGTTCATTATTCTACCGAAACGGTAATTTTTTAAATTACATTTCTAGGATCAAGAATCATGTGTTTTCCCTGTAGCGATATTGACTGCATGTACATTCTTATTTATGATTGTTGGTTTTGATCAATATTTCAAATACTCAATACGACTTACCAAATTGTAAAATAAATGCAGCTTTTAAAAGTCTTTCACTGTGATTTTATTTTAAATTTATTCAATTATATTGCTGCATAGCTAAATGATAGATTTTTATTCTTTTATTACTAAAAACAATTTTGATCAAGACATGCAATCAAAGTTTCAAAGAGTTGACTTGAATGATTAGACAAAAATAATTTTGTTTACAAGTTTTTATTCGATTCAAGTTGTAAAAATTATTTAACTCGATTTCTAAAGGATAACAATGAGCTTTTAACAGTTTTGAATTTTTTAATTTTCAAGTTCTTGAACATTTTTAATAATTCATTTTATAAGTTTTGTTTGAATTTCTTTTATAGCTTTCTCCAAATTTGTATATTATTCAAGTCAACTACATTTGTTTCTGTCTCGATTAATTGTAAAGGTTTCACATGTTTTATCAAGTCATATAAACAATTTTGATTCGATTAATATCATTTCATTTTATCGATTAATTATATAATTCTCTCGAATAATTTTTTTTTAAGTCCAAATTTTCTGATTATAATTCTTTCGAATAATTTTTTGTCCTTTGATTAGTCCTTCTGATATTTTTTTCTAAGTTCCAAATTTTCTGAAACCTTTTCAATTAAGACAGACGAGTTATTTATGCATGCTGTATTATCCCAAAGCCAACATTCGAATGAATGAGGCTCACATTGAATATTTCACAACGAGAAAATTTTATTGGGACAAAGTTAAAAATTTTAACTAAGTCCCAGTAATTTTTTCTCGTTGTGAAACTTCAACGTGGACTTCATTTCATTCGAGTGTTGGTTTTGGGAATTGGTGTGAGGGAACACTAAAAAACATAAAAAAGTTTCAACGCTGAACAGAAAAGAGAAAAATTGATCTGGGACTTAGGGGGTTTTTTTTTAGGCTCTCCTCCCCCTCTCCCTCCTCCTCCTCCTCTTTCCCTTTTTTTCCCTTTTTTTCACATTTTTTTTTCCTTTTTTGGTGTTTTTTTTTCGCATGTTGTGGTTTTTGGGTAGATTTTTGGGTTCGGCATGCATCTTCCGCAATGTGTCCCTCTGCGTGTAACCTCTCTCATCATGAACCTCAGGTTGACCATCACTTCGTGTGTTCGTTTCAGGACCCTTTGCGCTCGCCAACAGCCAGTCACCAGCACTGCTCCATTTTTTCTGCTTCAGAGTTGGTCGTCGTTGCCTTCAGCTGGACTCGATCCGTCTCACCTTGTGCCTCCAGAGTGATTTCACCGAGTATGCGGTCACTTAAACCGCTCGGCTATTTAAGTTATTGATGATAAAGTTATTTTTATTCCTATATTGTATTAATATTGAATTTTAATAAAGAATATGTATCATACACATCTCTCTTATTCATCATCTGCCTCTACCCCTCTCTTTCCCCAGTGCTTCTCTATCTCTTCTTTTTTTTTTTTTCTTCTCTTATGTATCTCTCTTACAGTCAAGTGTTGAATTTTTCAGAAATATACTAAGTGTCAAGGTCGAAATGCGACACCTGAATTTAATATTTTGAACTAATATTTTATAATTATGAAAAACTACACATTCGATTTTTCAAGCATCTTTGGGATTTGAACCGAGAAACAATGAGCAACCGTAGTGGTCACTTAACGATCTCGGCCAATTGGTTATACAGAACTGTTTTCTATTTGTAAAATATAAAGTCTTATTTCAGAAATGAAAGATATAAGTTTCCTAAAAATGTAGTGTGCCAATGTGCGAATGGCCGAGGTTGTTAAGTCACGTTTTATGACAAAATATCGATTCGAGGTTCGCCAGTTCGAACCCCATTTAACTGAAAAAAATATTTGAAACAAATAATTTTTCAAACTGTGTAAATAAATAAGACATATAGATCAATAATTAAATTTATTGAGTGCCAGTATTACAAAAATCTACATAATATATATATATATATATATATATATATATATATATAAATGTATGTGTGTATA